CTATCTATATATATACATACATATATTATTTTCTATTTCATTACAATCAATATCTAGCATTGCTACTACTGTCATTAAAGGAGCAGTCCTCTGTAAAACAAATTGACGGGGCTGATGCTTTCAGATCTAAAGGGCTCCTGTAAAAAAAAAAAAAAAATCTTCTGAAGGGAAAGTATCACTCCTCCTGTTTTCTCAGTGTTCTAATATAAAAGAAAAATCTGTCATTAAACTAAACCCTTCCCGAGAGCAGTATGGGGGATGCAATTGCTGACCTCCTTCTGAAAATATTAGTTTCCTATTTACATTGGCGCTCTGAATTCAGTATTTTCTAAGTCAAATACTTTGAACAAGTATACATATTTAGTAAATTCATACAAAAGCCAGAAGTCCTTTTTCTGTGTATCCAGACCATGTTAAAAATATCTGACTTCATTGAATATATTTATAAGACTCAATCACTGAAGACTGTAGTGCATGGATGTATGTTACTCTGCTCTGTCAATCTGTGTTACTTCTTGTTTAGCTTGCTGCTTCCTTAGTGACATTTTCAGCTGACAGCGCAGATATCAGAGAATCTTGGGGAAGAGGAGCAGCTTGTTCAGGGTTTGTGTGCTCTTCTGCTGGGAATCTGCATTTACTACAATGATAGCTCATATGAAAATAATACCAAGTAAGTTTGTCTGTCTGTCCCTACATTTTGTTCAAACCGTGCAAGACTATCTGTGTTATTTAAAAGCAAATATTAAAGTGGAAATAAACCTAACATAAATTTGTGAGCAGGCAGGCTCTTTATTGCAGAAGAAACATGGTACATCTCTTCTGCAATAAAGCAAACTTACCTGCCTGTTCACAGTGTTCTTTAAATTGTACACTCAGCTGCAAATGCGTAGCTCAGTGTAACGTGCTGTCGGAATGAACTCTTGTGCGCATAGGCAGGAGTTAAGTCATTCCAACCTAGCCATCAGGTTGGCCAAATATCTCAAACCCGGAAGAAGGCTGGTTGAAGATATCAGCGCCAGCGAGGGTAGGTGAGAAGTTCTGCTTTAACAAATTTGGCAAATAAGTCAATTCTTTCTTTGCTCAAAACAAGTTTGCTATAAAAAGGCACCCTTTGCCTCCATAGTACCACCCAACCACCACCATTACAAAGAGTGTGCTGCTTTCCCCACTTCATTCCCTCCTAAAGTTTTATAAATAAACAGAAATTAATTAATCCACTGGAGAAAAGAAGACACTCCACAACCACCATGGCAGGTGTGTGAAGCTAGCACCTGCCGAATGAGATTAAAAAAAATCAAGGGGTTTGATTCAACCAACCTGCAGCCATCCAACTTGTATATCAACTGGGAGGTTGTAGCCGTTATATGCTAAGTGCACAATAAACTGATACTTAATTTATATTGCTTATTTTATTGTAGTGTTTATATGTAAGTATCATTTATAGTAGTCACAAGTTTCAGATAATTGCTACCAGACTAGAACTTTTTTTTTTTTTATACTGGCAGTTTCTTCAGAGCATTATTAAGCAGGCCATAAACTGGTCGTTTTAATTCCACCAACAGTTCCATTCCAACAGTTGATTTTCCCCTTCCTGGGCTGTTGTATTCTGACAGTATTTAGTGTTCTGCTCTCCAAATACCTAAACAGTGGCCACAGGCACTGCTTGGACAACATCCTTCAACAAAAGTTGATTAATGAACCGTTGATGAGGAAGGGGGGGAGGGGACAGTATGTAGTCCCGGTGGGGTCACACACTGCTCAAATTGCCACTGAGTTAGCAGGACTAGGCTAAAATTTGAACATCATATGGATCGCTTTATTTCCATGCTTCCTAATCAGCCATATGGGGTAAAAAAAAAACACAAAGGAAATTAGCCTTAGATATTCTGCCCTTGTGCAAATACAGGGCTTAACGGCCCCTCCTGTCTGATAGAATCTTCTTCTATATTCATTCCTACCTTGCTAGAGTTTTAGGCTGGAACCCTTTATGCCCTCTCTGTTTGCAAATAAAGCCAGAGAAGGCTTGTGTTGTCTGTATTCTTTACTGTGCTGGGGTAACAACTGTGTACCTCTTCTGTGAGCCTAATAACTACTTGTGCCTGGGGACTAGCATAGCAGAGACTGCTCCTATTGTTTTTACATTTTGTATTGAATCCTTCTTGTGAAGCACAAAATAAAATATACTTTTTCCTTCAATGTAGCCGAATGGCTCCTGATTAGGGCTATTAATGCTTCGTCTTTATAAAGTGCCAGACACATTTTGGTAACAATGTTCCCCCATTTTATTCTTTTTTTCCTTCTAATATCAAGACAGAAGCAATTGATGATTTGAGTTTTGTGAACTGAAAGCATAAAAATAATAATAATGACCTGTACTAAATGTTAAAATTGTATACTCTTTAGAGAAAAGTTGAAGCAGTTGATAGAGAAGAGAATCGGGAAGGAAATCTTTATAGAGAAACTAAGCTTTATCTATAAGCATGAATATTACTCAAAGGCTGCTCAGAAACCTCAGCCTACTTTCTCTAGTCCTGATCACATGATGTTTGATCACGAATTCACAAAATTAGTCAAGGAACTAGAAGGTAAGTCCCTCTCCCATCATTATGAATGGGTTTATTTCACACTGTCTTTTTTTGTTGTGCTGGATATATACAAAAACAGTAAAAACAAGATATGGATTTAAAATTGAGGTTAGCTGAGCTATATCAAACTCAGGGCAAGCTGCTAGTGGTTTTCTTTGGGCTACTTTACCTTGCAGGTCCTCTAGATGTCATTGTTGACTCTTTTGTGGGTTTTTTGAGGGTTAGAGAACAGTAAAATGATTTTGTAATAGAGCCTATGTTTTTTTAAATTGCCTGCAGCTGTCATTACAAAGGCTGTCTACAAATCTAGTGAAGAAGACAAACAAGAGGAAGAGGTTAAAAAGTCTTTGGAGCAGCATGATAACATTGTGTCACGCTACAAAAATGTCATCCGAGAACAGGTAAAATTTCAATTAGTGGCATTATCATAGTAGACATTGTTATTGAAGAAGAATATTACTTTGCTTAAAGCGTTCCGTAAAATTGAAGAGGTTTAGTGAATTAAAAAAGGGGAAAATTCAGGAATGTACCAGTGCTATGTACGGTCTATTAAAACAAGGAAAAAGACAAATATCTAGAGGAGTACCTTTTATAACAGGGATTCTCAACCTGTATAATCTCAGGACCCGCATTTGTCCTTGGTCATTAAGTTGCAACCCAAGTCGCACTGCAATGGAACGCAGGGCATTGCGGTACCGCGTGTTCCGACAACTGAACTGTGGGCAGGAGGTGTGTTTGGGGTACCATTAAAATGAATGGTAGCACCACACACCTCTCACAACAGAATGCGTAGGAGTGATTTCATAGAACAGTGTGTTAATCACACAGGACTGTTCGATTAATGCACTACACTGACAGATATACACACACACACACATATATATATATACATATATATATAAAGCAATGCACGTATGGATGGAGCTCCCTAACGGCTATAGCTCCAGCCCACCCCACCTCAAGCTGAGACTCGGTGCTGAGCAGCATATGAATGACTGCTTGGCGCGAGAACTGACAGTGCTGCGCTAGAGGGTGGCTGAGGAGCCTCTCACCTAGAAAGTGGAAGGCATGCAACGACCCACTAAACATGGGGTTGTGACTTTAAAACATAACAGTAATCTGCATAGAAGCAATAAATGATCCTCCCTCCTTCAATGAAAGAGCATTTCAAGGTCAGGTAGGACACAACATGGAGCTTACACAGCAAGTGCAACCAGTGACCCTCTGTACAGTAGAGGGCATTACTGCTGAACTTCAGACAAGCATCCAAATACACAATCATCTAAAGTTACTGTATATTGGTAAACAGATTTATGTTCCAACAATAATTAGGCTCCTT